ATTTTCATCTAAGTTAGTTGTCCACTCTCGTCATTAATCTTCTCCTATTTTTAAATGTAGGCTGAGTCGATCTTCGCTCTTGTTCCATTTGTCGACCTTGCTTGATCTTGCAAAGAATACTATGGCATAATTCATGGTTGGGAATATTCATCACTTTCATTATAGATTATTAAGTCATTTAAGGAAGAGGAGAAATTACAAAAGCTATAATAAAAGGGGCTTGAGAGAAAAGTTCCAAGTCCCAAATGAGATGCATCATCCCATATTTATAGACCACTATAGTTGCTGATGCACACAAATATTCCATTTAATGCTATTATAAAGCATTAAATGGAATATTGTTCTTGATCTAAGAATTAAACAAAATGTTATAATCTATTGGGTTCTCATTTATTTTTTAGCCAAAGTACTAAAATATTTTATTATTTTCTTAGAGATCATTGTCCAAAGATATTAGAGGATCAGAATGAACAAAATATGTGTTGTGATATGAATCAAATTCAATGTGCACCCTTCTTGTTGGAAAGTTTTTTAAGACACGAAAGGGTTATTAAGGGAGTTACATTTTGTAGTGTTGAAAATGTTGCAATAAGAAGCAAGGTATTTAGAGTTCACATGGATTAAGTGCAATGCTAAATGAGCAGATAAATGATATAATACTTTTAAAATAAAGCATTCAACATTAGTCCTGGCATTCAATATGAATGAATGAATGAATGAGGATTTATGCACAGGTGTGCATGTGTATATACATATATATATATATATATATATATATATATGGATTTACGAAGGATTTACACGTGCACAGGTGTGCATGTGTGCGCATATATAAACACGAATATTGAACTATATATGGGCCGGATTTATGCACAGGTGTGCATGTGTACATACATATATAAACACGAATATTGAACTATATATGGGCCCCACAGCTGGTGCTTATATATATGGCTTGATGCATTTGAATTCGTGCCTGAATCGAAGGAGATCATCAGGTAGAGAAAATAATAACAGAACAGATTGTGATGCTCTCCATACTGTTTGATATAGGGAATATCACATGAACAGGTTCATATTATTATTACTATTACTTTCTTCTATTTATAAAGCATAATTGGGGTGCAAAAGTATTAGTGTCCAGAAAAGCAGCTGGCCGGTGTGCTTTTTCATTAATGTAATCATATTTAATAAATAATTTTCTCCAGACAATTATTAGGCCATACATGAAAATTGCATCGTATTATTTCTAATCTATTATATATACCACCCTATTCTTGCATCTTAATTTACACATCTAATACCTAAGCTTCAATTTTTACATAATATAACACCTTGCACATGCATAAAAAGGTGTACTCCACGTATCATTACTATTATATGACTAATCTTTTATACAATAACACGCAATCTCCTTGAGCTTTACTAGCATAGAAACAAAATAACGGAAAAGATGATCTTCAGAATGCAATTGAATTAGGACTCAACTTAATTCATTTACATAAAACTAAGGTGATATACAAATCCACTCTTTACTTTAAAGACAAAAAGGTAAGAGCAAAGGGCAGATGGCATTGGCTACCTGTTCTTTAGCACTTCAATAAATAATAGAAATTATTATACACTGATCTCACCTCCCTACCTGTTCATTGCTTCAAATCCCAAAGTGCGTGCGAGCAAGCACCGAAGTGAACCCATACGAGGTGGTAGCCAACGGACCAATTCGAAATCTTTTATAGATAGAGTCAAGAAATAAGTGTGAAGTGCAAGTCAAGCGGCCTGAGAGCTCCTTGTACTATGTCCTGAACCGTCTTATTGCGCCGACACACATCTGACAGTTCTTCGAGAATATCCGTTAAACTACTATTTGAACCTGATGCCGCATCCGAAAGAGATTTAACGAACCTAGCGCATTCCACCTCGGTTAGAGCGGATGAAGGTATCAGTGAAATAATTCCCTTACCCCACTCTACTACCTTAGTTCCATAAGATCTGGTTAAGGCCAGAAGAGCATATGATACCTACAAATAAAGGTGATGTGAATAGAAGTAGAGAGCTGGTGGTGATAATTTCAGCAGTGGAGCTTCAGTTTTAATACCTCCTCAATCCTTGAAGAAGGAAGAGCCCCAGTCAAGGAGGCAATCAAGATTCTAGTGAGGTTGGCGCCTCTAGGAAGAATCACACTATCTATAATGGATCGGTACTTATCGCCATTGGAGCTATTTGCAAGATCCAAAACATCAGATATGAATGTTAAAATCGACCTGCTAGCATCTCTGTAGACATAAAAAACCAAAGCAAACCATGTGTATTATGTGGCCAAGTTCATTTCAATAAAGCAAAATAACTTTTTTTATTCTATAAAATTATGAGAACCTATATTTTATATTTGCAAAGTAGTAGAAAATATTGACAGGATCAACAAGTCATTCATATTCATTCTAAGTATTAGTTACAAGGAAATATATAGACTAGTCATAAAAATAAAAAAAAAACTAAAACAAAAAACATCTGCAACAATCAAAATAACAACCTTTCTAAATTGCAAGTCCAAAAAATATTAATATGCTTTCCACACCCACGCAAGCTTTGGATATCTCGGCATGAATCCATGGGATCTAAGTTCTCTTCTCGGGAATGAATCCATGAGATCGTAATTTTCTTTGCTTTCATGGGTTCCAAGTCCCCACCGCAAGCTAGAGAACTGATGCCTTCAATTGTCAGCTTGGAGATCATTTCATGAAATATTGCTCGGCTTAACGCTTTTAGTAAAAACTAAGCCATCTTCCAATTAAGTTTTTAAGTGCACATGCATATTGAGCCTTTCTTTTATTTTGATGAAATGTCTGTCAATCCCGAGGTATTCTGTGCAATGCAGTTGTTCTAGGTTATGTGCAATGCTTATTATTGATTTGCACTTTCAATATAACTTCATAGGTCCTTCCATTTAATTTTTGGTTCAATTCAAATAATTTTCATTCATAAGGATTAACAATTTTTTTTGGGTCATAGCCCTGAGTTTTATTTTTTGCACCAACATGTAACTAGATTCCCTTCAAAAAATGTGAAATAACCTGATATTGATCCTTTTACATTGAGGAACTTGCATTAGCTACACCAATGAAATCTTCTTCTTCCTTTATGATTCTCACTTTACCTCTTACTTTTGTTTTTTTTTTCCTCAACACTAAACTGAAAATTTAAGTCGGTGTTTGATAGCATATGATTGACAGAATTTAACAGAATTAAATTTAAATCCACCCAAACATAAAAAAACATATAAATTAAAATTCAATGTTATATTAAATAAAATTTTCTTCGCATTCTCTTTTTTCCTTGTGCTCCGACTCTTTTATGACATAAATCCAAATTTATTAAATTTATTTACAAGATGAATGTATTTTGTACTATCTCTTTTATCATACACTTGATTTGATAAATCCAAATTTATTGGATTTGATAAATCCTATTTAGCATATATCAAAGTTCCAACCAAACAAACGAGCTCCGTCACTTCAAACTCCAACGTACCCTGACCCATGGCGAAGTGGCGCCGTGACTACTGTGGTTGCAAAGGTACAACGGTGGCTTGCAGACTGAAGCAACGGCGGCTTCTAGTTTGAAGGAGCGAAGTACAAGCCTGCCCGATTAATTAGGTTCATCCGTGCGGTTTAGACTGAAAGACAGCTACTATTGATGAAAATTGATCATTCCGATCGGGCAGTTAAACAAAATAAAAATGAGGGATAAAATAGTGCAATTTAATTTAGATCATATGATATGACGTGGGCATTCCTCCTCTCTGGACCGAACGAGTGAAAGTCCAATCCCCTTTGGACCGCAGCAGGGAAGTTCAGCCCCTTCTATGGGTTTAGGGCTCTAGCCCAATAGGGGCGGCCCAACCCCCAAACCCCACGCCTTCTCTAATTCCCTCTGGTTTTCCCTTCCACGGTTGTATCCAAGAGATCTTATTTCGAGGTGGTGACAATCCTCAACTTTCCTTCCGTGCATAGTTCTCGTAGGTGTCACCATTCGCTTTCCTTGCAGCAGCAGCCGGTCAGCCCGTTGTTGTTTTCCTATAGTTGCCTTCTATCAAGCTACTTCCCAACCTTACTATCGTCAAACCCAGCCGGATCACCCAACCATATCGTGCTGCCACCCTGTTTTGCCACACCAAACCCAGCATCTAATTATTCTAAGCCTTGTTGTTATCCACCCCAACCGCCCAACAGGTCATACCTTGTCACCACTTCCTTCCCTTCCCGGCCACCAACCAGGGAGTAACAACTTACCATTTCCTGCTCTACCAGCCTTCCCTCCCCTCTGGACCGAACCCGTTGGATGGGGGTTCACCGCTCAACCAACCATCTGCCGCCCTCCCTTTCCATCTGAATTGCAATTGAGAAAGTGGCTTAATTTGGTCAACCCCCATTAAAGATTTTAAAATAACTATTTACAAATTCAGCCCTCCTGATATATAAAAAGAAAAATATTTAAAGAAAATAATTTAGAAAGAACACTTTCAAATAATTGTATTATAACTTATAATAGTAGAGACACAACTAGGCAATGACGAGCACCAAGGGAAAGATCATAGATGGATCAGGTTAAGGTGTGAAGATGTACGCAATTTTGTAACATTGTTGAACAAGACCGTTGAGGCGAGAGTTGTGTCTGGCGATCCCCAAGCATGGGGTCAAAGCGGGATGAAATCCCGCCCCATGACAGTCTTGAAAGCACAATTTTCCCAAACCTTTTTTGCTTCTTTAGCTGTGCGGGGCCCTTTACAGTTGTTTTAATATTAATATAATTAGAAATAGGGTTTAATTAAGTCTTAGTAAAATTACGCTGTTTAGAAGCTGATTTTGTAAACTTTTGTTTGATTTTTGTTATTTGAAGATTTTTTCCCCAAGAGTGTTGTATCCATTAATTTTTTTCAAGAGGTGTGCCTATAATCTGATTGGATTGAGGTACTAATCTCCCAAAATTCCGAAAATGCCATCTAACAAAAACAACCTGTTGTTTCTCCGCAGTCAGTTCGTGTTTCTAGCTGTCGTTCGCAACAGATTTCAGCCGCACTCACTCCCCACCATTACTCATCCAACAACTTACATAAGCCTTTTTCTTGTTGTCCCACACCAACTAGGAACTCCAGAACGATGTCAATCGTGTTCAAATAATAAACGAGAATAGGAGTCAATAGAGGATTAATAATGATGATAAAAGTCTATTGCAAGAACCAACAATGAGACTGTTTAGGATTAATTAATTGTAAGCAGTGATAGAGGCCAAGACAAGTGATAGAGGCCAAGACAAATGAGGAAACAAAAAGACCTAAAGCTAGATACCAAATGGAGATTAAGATTTTTTTTTTCATTCAGTATTTTCAACATATATATATATATATATATATATATACATAGAATCACCTCATGGCGATTCTCTCCGTTGAATCTCTCGGCTTCACTCCACCGGCTTCCTCATGCCTGACGAAGAAGGGTTTCGCGTTATCTTTTTCGTCTTTCCGTCGTTCCGCAAGCCCCTACGATTCGTCTGCTTCGACGACTCTACTTCAACGACGAAGGGTTTCTCGTGTTTCGTCGTTCCTCCAACCCCTACGTTCATCTCTCCTCACCCACACTCGACAAATGAGGAAACAAAAAGACCTAAAGCTAGATACGGCTCCCTCATGCCCGACGAAGAAGGGTTTCACGTTATCTTTTTTGTATTTTCGTCGTTCCGCAAGCCCCTGCGATTCGTCTGCTTCGACGACGAAGGGTTTCTCGTGTTTCGTCGTTCCATCGTATTCCTCCAGCCCCTATGCTTCATCTCTCCTCACCCGCACTCGACGATGTTTCCTCGATAGCAGTTCGCATCGTCTCTGTACTTGACGACGCCTTCGCCCTGCCTGACAAAAGGTCTGCTCGCCTTGCAGGTCGCCTAGCATCTCTTCACATGACCTCAACGATGTGTTCCCATGCCACTGCAGTTGCCGACGACTTTCCTATTCCTACTCGTGCTCCTCTTTCAAAATCAGAGCCTGGTTTTCATATTGAAAAGTCATGCAATGTTCTACAATCTTCTTGAAGGTGGTGGCGATCACACTTTCATTAAAAAATTTGGCAAAAAAAATGGGAAGTCTACTATTATTCCCACTGAGGTTGAAACTAGTACTCTCGCATCCTCTTGGCATTTTGCTCTAGTGGGAAAATTCCTCTATAGACACCCAAAATTTGATATCATTTGGAAAGATTTTGATGCTATGAAGCTATTGGGCAGTTGGAATATTGGCTTACTTGAAGGTCGACATATACTGATTCAATTATCTCACGATATCGATTACACTCGCATTTTTTCTCGAAAAGTTATCAAGATCGACAACCGTTTTATGAAAATTCTGAAGTGGACTGTCAATTTTGATCCAAAAGCGGAGTCCCATATCATTTCTGTTTGGATAAAGTTGTCGGGGATAAAATTACATTTGTTCAACTTGAAAATTCTCTACTCATTAAGAGCTGCTTACGGTAAACCTCTCAAGGTGGAGAGTCCTACACTTGCTGTCACCAGACCCTCTGTGACTTGTGTGTTAGTTGAGAGAAATATCACTCAACTAGCTCCGGATGGGTATGGATTGACACCACTCATAACGGGTATTGGCAAAATGTTGAAATAAAACCACACCCTCCTTATTGCTCTCATTATAGTATGTTTGGTCACAGTTCTACTATTTACTATCGCTTGAATCCTTATCTGTCGGATATCGCTAAAGATCAACCACCTACCATCCCTGCTGAGAAGGTGCAACCTGATCCTCCTTCCAACACCGCAGTTCCTGATGAAGAACACCATACTACAAGTACATATTCAAATGTGTTTATACCACTCACTGTTATTGAAGAATGCCCACTTACATGGTAAGACACACGAGAGTGCTCCTTCGATCCGATAAAAGATCAATTGGTACAACAAGTAGTTGCTTATAATGTTCAACAACCTACACATGCCCGACACACTTTAGATCAATCCACTGATCAGGTGAATCAATCTTCGAATGATGAATGACAAGTCTATTCCACGAGGAAGAAGAAGAATGGAGGTCGACTCGAGCTCGGGAACTTATTGGATGATATATTGGTTACTACTGACAATGGCACAGCAATGACACTCTTCTTATCAATTTATTAGCTGACTCCTTCCATAGAACTAGAGGCAGAGGCAAAACAAAATTGGGTCGCTCTCTAGCTACCTAATACTACGTATTTTGACACTTTTTGATTTTTTTCTTTAGGCATCTCATGTATCTTTCTGTATTTTCTTTTTCTGTTGGAACCATTTGCATGTGGCGCTTAACATGTGGGCGGGGTGCCATATTTGGGTCATCCCACACAATCTATCTGTATCCTACTTTCTCTTTAATACATTAGCCATTGGGCTTTCTAAAAAAAAAAATTATATATATATAGGTAGGTAGGTAGTACAAAAAAAGGCAAAAAGGAAAAAAGAAAAATAAAATATGGAAACATATCTACATTCCATATAAATAAATGCTTCCTATAAAAAAATAATAACTTGAAAAAAAAAGTTCCTAATATGATTTGCATGTCCAAGCATATTTTATTTTTCTTTGGAATGGATGCATTTGTTCCTATTTTTCTTTGCTGGAATAAATCCATGCAATCTGATCTCCATTTTACCAAATTTTCTTTCTTAGCATAAATTTGTGGTTCCGACAAAAAGGAACATAAGAATTGAAGTGAAATACTTGCATAAATTGCCTAAACATGACGAGGAAATAAAACAATAGAGAACACATCCAGCTATTATACGAATCATAATCATAGGCATGCCAAATCCATTAAAGAAACTAAAAAAAAAAAACTATGACATAAAGGTACTATGACATAAAGGTAACTGAATTGAATCAATCCAAACACTAATGACTTGCCAATCCAATAAATAAAAACTTTCTAAATTTAAATCATACGAAAATAGTTTTAAGTTTTAGAAATAGAAGCATGATGTAGACACATCACAAAAATAAAAAAATTGAATAAAAAACAGAAATACTCAACATTAACCAATTAAAAGCTGGAAAGATTTCGGGAAAAATGAAATTTAAGAACAGGCTACACAGGAGTAAAAAAATAACTAAATTAATCTTAACTTTAACTCTTTAAAATTGAAACTGGATTCAGGTATAAATTTATTTTCCAAGCATTTTAATACAAAAGCGGACAACCAGAGTAGAAAAAACAGAAGTTATGTTAGGCAGTTTTAATAAACAGCAGAAGCAAGGGATTTATTTTACCTGTGTTGTATGGTTGCACCAATCATGGCACAGTCAACTAATGATGGAAAAACAGACGCAGGAACAAATAAATCAGGGCAGTATCGAATGCATCTTGATGCCAATAAATAACAATCATCAGCTATATCAGGCCTAGTCGTGAAATCCTGTGTTCAAGAAAATGAAATGAGTAGCTCTAAAAAGTACATAATACATTGGAGAGCAGGAAAGAATAAGCTATATTTATTACTTGAATTGTTAAAAGAAATTTTGTTGTATGACTGAAAAGCATTTCTATTAAGCTCCGGAGGTAGCTTGCACAAGATGGATCAGATCCAAATATCTGTAAGCGCAATATAATCAACCTGAGAAAGATGAAGCTCCAAAGTATAACATTTTAATCACATTTAAGATGATCTACCTTTATAACTTCACTTGATAGATAAAGAAAGCAAGACTGGTTGTGTTGCTGATACAGTGCCTGGATTGTTGCTAGCATTGCTCCAATTGTGATACCCATAGATCTTCCAGAAGTTCTCACCTATAAAATGGGCAAGGCCTTCAGGTTAAAAGGACAGTTTTAAATAAAAATGCCATGTGTCCTTAGAGCTTTCCATCTCCATTGAACCACCAAAAATGTGCAAAAAAAATAAAATAAAACAGCATCATATGTCAACCAAAAAAAAAAATTGCCCATTTCGCTACAAAGAGAAACACATTAGCAAGGTAAATTAATTTGAAGTAAAAGAAAAATTCATGGTTAATTACAACATTAAAAATGATAACAGGGAAAAAAAAAGTTTAAATCTGGAGCTTATCAACTCCAACAAATGGAATTACATTACAAAACTAGAAGGGAATGAGTTCAAACCATATGCATTTATACCTCTCGTTCTTATCATTAAGCAACTTAAAAGCTTGGAGTAAGTTCCATACACCTACACCGAGATTGATTAGACCCATGAAACTAGTATGATTCATCCACCAAACTAGTGTACCTTTCAAAGCTGGAGGGCCCTCAGAGGCATCTAGCAAAAATGCACGCAATCCTAACTAGGAGTTGAATTTCTTTTTAGCAACAAGAAGCAACGCATTGCCACCTTTTTCTTGTTAAACTACCCAATACTATTTTCTCCATATGATCTTAAAAAAAATAGGAAGTGGAAGATAGTCCATTGGAATGCACTACAGCTTAAATTCATCTGATTTAAAGGTCACAGAAAGAAACAAGCCATCTATGAAAGTTCACATACAGGAATAAAATTCACGCATCAGGTTATCTCAAACCCCATCAACTAACAATCAACAAACCTCACATCAAAATTTTGTCTTCATTGTGAACAGGTTTTAGAAGTATCAAGTTTTATCACAAGAGTGACAGCTCCCATAATCAGAAAACAGAGATTCCGATTATATTTCATATATAAAATGCAACTGCGAAACTAATTGATAAAGAAAAGAATTAAATTTCCAAAAATCCAAAACAGAGATAAAAAAAACAAAAAAAAAAATTCAAGCAATAAATTAAGTAGACAGAAGCAATAAATTAAGTAGACAGGATCTCAGAATCCAAATCAAGATGAAAAACAAGAGAAACGCAAAAAATAAATAAATAAAAAAGGTACCATGTGAAGAGAATTTTAAATTAGTTTCGCTATTCTATAGATATTATGACACAAAATTGTACAAGTGATTCTAGCATGTTACATGGCAAGGCAATCAAATTTACTATGAAAAGCTTAAATATGGGCTTGGGGTAGATTTTAGATTATTTTTATTTCCTATTGTCGGGTGAGTTAACAAATAATCAATTATAATGGTTTGATATACTTAATATTGAACTGATACAAAGAATGGGCTCTACTAGTATTTTTTCTCTTCAAGAAACAGTTATCTTTCTTAAATCACTGCAACAAAAAAGCTTTCTTCATTCCTTCCTAACATAATTCCAGGAAACAACCACCATTATTCTTCATTTTAGTATTATAGCTTTGAATGTAATCATTTTTGCTCGTAGCAAGAAAATGTTTTAGGGAAGATACACTTCTTGTTAAGAAGTAAGTACTTTTTGCTAATTGTTGAAAAGTTGAATAATCTCAAAATTAACACAAACAGATGGAAGAGATTTGTTTCACAAGTAGGATCAAGACATGAAAAATCAAGAATCAAGAAATGCATTGCAATCAAGATTGAAGGAGGCATTATGGAGAAATTAAATACTGCAAAACACAATTAACTATTAAACAAGGAAAAAACAAGATTTCTAAAAAGAAATTGTGAAAGAAAGATTCAAGAAGAGAAAAATAAAATCCTTTAGATGATGCAGCCTTTAGACTGCGAAATTTCCATTGTGCAAGTATGAAGAATGTCATAAAAAATAAAATATGCAACTTGTAGATATGATTGAACAAATAAAATATGCAACATCATAAGAAATAAAAAAATTTCAAAAGTTTTGTTATTATTCATGAATTACTACAAGATGAACCTTTTCATATAAAGATCTAGTGTCAAGGGTTTACAGTCACATCAACATTTTTCTCTAATCTGTGGGCAAAAGCATTATCGCTTCAACACAACAGTAACATTGTAAAAAAGAAAATAAAAATTTCAAGCAACTTGTACTTATTTTGGTACTGTCTAGAGATCTTGTAAGATATGACTGTAAAAATAATCGTACTATAGCATGGAACTATAACAGTAACTGTGTATGTATAAGCTGATTCGATTTGTATTAGCTTAGGTTCAGTTCAACTCTATCTCCATGTCTATTACAAAATAACAAAAAATAGAATTATTAATGGCAGAGTTTAATCAAATTACTACAAGGCCATTTAAAACATCTATAAAATATAATATAACAAAAAGTTCTTTCAGAAGCAGCTTTTTTACAAAATTTTAAAAGCAGGTGGGCATGCTTTCCTTAAAGCCACTTAAAAAACAATTTTAAAATGAAACTAAATAGATCTTATCTGTAAGGATTCCAAGAAACCAAACCCAACTTATGTAAAAGCTTGTTGTTTAAGCAAACAAAGATAAGAAAAATTTTAAACTGATTACTGTTGCTTTAAAAATAATCAGGAAAAAATTTTGAGCAAATTAATTTTGATTTAACAGAACTGATCAATAGCCGGTTTACTATAAGAGAGGGGAGAAAGAGGGTAATTGAACCATATGTGAGAAACCAAATAGGATAGGGGGAGTCAGACCAAGATAAAAAGAAAGGAGAAATAGCATGAAGAACAAAGCAAAGCAAGAATGAGTGTGATACTCAGATTTTATAAGGTATAAATGCAATTTAAGTCTAAACAAATTATAACAAAAAAATTCAACTTTTACCCTAAAAAAAAATTCATTGCATTCTATGCTTCAAAAAGATCATTTTTATATACAGAAGTACATAATATATTTTAAAAATGAGAAAATTATGGAATTAGTTTTCACTTGAATTTAATATTTTAAAAATTTTATTTAATGTTTTTCATGAGAATGTAGCTTTGAGTGGAATTTGAAATTCCACTTATGTATGCATGCAATAGTTGTTAAATAAGTATAAATTATATAATTTAATTCAGGTACTTAACTAAAGTAATCTTTATTTACCTTACTTATATTCCTGTGAATTACCATCGAGTGAAAAGCAGTGAGTTGAGGTCTAGGTGTAAGCCGAAGGGTAAAGGAGAAGAAATAGAAAAAAAGAGAGAAGGCGGTGATAGATTTTGATGATTTCTTTGAAAAATAAGCTTCAATGGTTTTATGTAGGAGACACTTTAAGGTAATAGTGTATTTTGAGATATAATTTGACTTAAAATAGAATTATAAATTAGAAAATGTTATTCATTGAGAATTTAGAACTTTTACATTGTTTAAAAAAGGAATCAATTTTGGGGTTGTCAAATTAAGGAGGTTGACCATTAATTAAGGTTTGAAAATTATAATACATAAAGCAATTTTTTTTAGTACTTCGCATGCGTATTTATATTTAAATTAGACCGATAGGTGCAATTCAGTAGAAATTTATCATGATTTAGAAACATGTTTATAGCTCGACACTCATATGTAAACGACTGCACATAAATTTTGATGATACAAGCTCTCAATTATATAATTTTTTTATTAATTAGTGACACTTTTAAGTAAAAGCATCTGATATCTATAAATCACTCATTTGTATATATAATAATTCATCATATTTTAGAATGAATACCGTGTTTATTTAAATTTTCAATGATAATATATTGAGCTAAAAGAATATCAGATATGAGGAGTTAGGTTGGCAATGACACATTTATAATACATGTAAAGATAAGAAAAAAAAAAATTAACCCAAAAACGAATATGGAAACCTGCCTAGAAAATGAGATAAATGTGAGCCTATTTATGAATATGAAATCTGTATGGCTAGAATGATAAAGATGGCACATATAGAGAAAAAAAAAGATCTTCAAGCTAATATGCTTATAACACTTGTAAAAATAGGGAGACAAAGATGAACGCTTCTATGATACATGAGTAATAAATAAAATAAAAAAGAAAGAAATTTACACAAATTTAAATTAACATGATACCACCTATTCATATGTCAAAGGTAATGTTGATAACCTTGTTAATATTTTTTTAATGTTTACTTTTAGAGAAATATTTTACAATGATTTGAAGAAATTAAATTAGTCTAGATTATTTATTTTATATCTATATTAGAATTCTTACTTTGCCAAACTTCTAAACACACCATATATCGAGATAAATTTATCTCAGTGAAAGAAAATACAAAGTTGAGGCTCAGTAAGTATCATGCTTATTTTTGTAATCATGGTTTGTTGTATAGTTGTTATAAGATATATTAATACTGAGATAATGCATAAAATGAAATTTATATTTGGTGTAAAAATTTTAATACATATTATATATTCTATAAATATGTAAATGAAATATTGGGATTGCTTATGCTTAATTTAACCAGCTAGTTCTGGTGGATACATTTGAATTGCAATGATGTGAAATATTATGTTCCGGGTGAAATATTTGGATTGCTTATGCTTAATTTAACCAGCTAGTTCTGATGGATACATTTGAATTGCAATGATGTGAGATATTATGTTCCGGGTGAATTTAAGTTGTTGAACATATCACACTTTACATTGGTATGTAGAATATAAAAAAGATGTTGAAGATATATTCAATTAGTTAAATAACGCATGACTCTATTATATCCTGTTTGGAATTACAGGAGTGGTACTTGAGGGGCATGACAATGTGAGAGAGGGAGAGGGAGAGGGGGGGGGAGAGGGAGATAGATAGAGTGAACGAGGCCAAGTGAGAAAAATTAGAAGATTTTGATATGTAACGAATGATGACCGAAATTGGATGATTGAAGACAAGCTAAGGAAAAGGTTTATGGTGGAATGAAATATTATTCCAGAAGTTATTTTATCTAAAACGCTTTTAAATATAAATGACAATATAAACTGAATTTTAATTTGTGTTGTCAAATAGTTTACAAATTTGTTTAAGGCTTTTAAGAGAAAAGATAAAATATAATCAACATATAAAAAAAAATACTAAAGAAGTAAAACATTATTACACTTTTGTAGTGTCAAAATAAGATTGATTACTATGTTCAATCAAAAAAGTTTCAATTGTGAGATTTAATTATTAGTGAAATATATAAATATATTTAAAAAGGTATCATAATTAAAATGTGTACTTCAAACATAAATATGATTTTAACTGATAAAGGTTTACCAAACAATTACAATGGTTTAAGAAATTAAACAATAATAAAAATTATATAAGTAAAATAAATAGGGCAAAGTAAAAGAAAATTTAATGCAAAGCAAAATATTTTGATATAAAAGTTGTTATATTAATAGTTAATTATAATAATAGGTGCAAATACTAACTATGATTTCTGATGAAAAAAAAAAAAGATAACTAAAATTAATTTTTATATTTAAACAAAAGAAAGATATATTTAAATGAAGGGACTTAGTAATGGTAAAAAGAAATATATGTATAAACTTATTATAAAAATACTTTATATATAATTATGTATGACTATAGGTGTGAATTAATAGAGGTGGAGCAACGATCAAGAGTAAAACCAACTATTCTGAAATTAATATGATACTTATTTTTTTTATTCACTATAGCAGTATCATTTATGCTTAAGGAACTGAGAAAAATGTAAAATGTCCTGTAGGGAGTTTAAGGGTCCGTTTGGGACAGCATATAAGTACGAACGGCGTTTTGAAAACGCCGCCGCACCGTTTGGTTCGCGCGTTTCGCCAGCTTATCCGAAACTGCGTTTGGGTTTTTACACTAAACGCGGGCCGCGTTTCTTCAGGATAAGCCAGGATAAGCAGCTTATCCTGAAACGCAGAAGCTGCCCCAAACGGAAGGTAAGAGAATAATTTGTAAAGCTAAAAATTCTACTTTTAGATAGTTTCTCCAAGAAAATAAATTTTGAACCTTATCACAAGATAATAGGCGCTTCACACATTGCATATTTATACTTCAAGAAGATAGTTTGTCTTCATAGCATGCCCAGGCCCATCACTTTAGACTAGTATGTGAAAGTTCTGAGTCAATTTTGGAGCACTTATGAAATAAATTTGCTACAAAAAGCTCTAGTTTATCTCAACAACACAGTTAAAAATAGATTGACAAACATAACTGGTGAATCACAACTTAAGAAATCTTTTTAGATATTTTGTAGATAAAAATATCAAGCTGTGGGACTTATTACTTTCACATGTTGAATCTACATACAATAGTTTTACTAGTCAATCCACGAGCCACAATCCTATTGGCATTGGATACAGATAAAAACCCCTCATAATCTTAGAGTTTGTTTCAATACTTCTAGTTACTAAGCTTGGTACTTTAAACAATGATATTGAGATTTTAGATGAGCGTGGTGAAGAAAAGTTCCAAAAAGAACAATAAATATTAGAAACAGAACAAAAAATCCACGAAGGATGTGGCCTTCAAGGAATGTAATTTGATGTACATCATACTGAATGAGAGATTTCTTGCGAGTTAATTTTGAAAGGTAGAGTTAAAGGTCGATTCAGATTAATTTAGAAAAATCAATGATAATGTATACAGGATTAATCTGATGAAGAATTATAACATTTTTATTGCCTTCAACTTCACTGATTAATCATCGTACTTTTACTACCTCGAGAATGACATGGATGTTCCAGAATCCATCCCAATCGCAAAAGCTCAAGCTTCTGTCTCAAAAATATAGGGAAGGGTTGAACCGGCTCTTGGTTCAAATTTTCTCCCAGTCAGTTCAATTTTTTCAGCTTCGAATACCTGGACCGGCTCCTTAATGTCTTAATTAACCATATTTAGGATTAATATTAGGGGAATTTTTTCTTAGAGTATATAAATATGTTGTTAACTCTTCATTTCCTGACTTTACTTTAGTCTATGAATTTTATATTTTCTGTGAATTTATGTCAGTATGGAGTGTTGTAGCATTTTTCTCTTATAAATGAATTGTTTGTGGAATGTTAGGGAATAAATGGTGGATCCTCCTAAACATTTGTGCCTCTGATATCGTCGCACTATTGTGTTTACGGTGTTTTTTTTTTTTGGCAGTCGGCAGTCAATGGAACTACTTTTCTACTACTTTTCTCCTTCTAATCTTTCTTCTTTGCATATTCTCCTCTTCATGTGATTCTACAATATCTCATGCGCTAGAATTGATCCTCAAACACCTTCTATAACTCTAGAAAGGTGTCAACCTTCTACCTATAGGAATATAAATATTGTAAAATTATTCTTCAACATTTGTTACTTTATCCGCCAGAATTTATATTCAACTAGCAATAATTGGTTGCATCCCTAGTTCAAAGAATAGTTCAGTCAGACCACATTTTCGGTAAGTTTTCCTGAGAAAAAAAAATGACACTTTGCCTCCCTAAAAATCAAAATTGAACAAAAAAAATAATATGAGAACCAAAAATATTTGATCCTCGAAACCATTACCTGTACAATTTATACCTTTCAGACATTATCATTTCCATATATTGAATGCAAATTAATATCTTAAAAGATTTAGAACACATGTTACTCATCACCATCTATGAAAAGACAAGAATTAAAAAGACTAAACATGCATGCAAGAGCAATTTATATATTAGGTTGCAAGTCACGTGCACTAACAAGCAAGTGACAAATTTAATATATCAACCAATTCCTTCGGATTGATTAGTATCCAAGTTTTTAACACTTACAGCATATTTACAGGCACGACATAGTGACTCCATCGTCCTCATGTCCCATGCACGGCTATAAAAAATCGCACATGATTTAAAAAGGGTCAAAATTAAAGAGAAACTTGTACATATGTACTTTTAAAAGAAAACCAGCTTTTAGCTCTCACAGATCAAAGATAGTTTTGAAAAGCGGCCAAAGCCTCTGCACAGCACCTGCCACGACCTCAGGTTGTTTAACATTCCTGAAATTTTCCCAGCAAATTAAGAGAGAGCTTCATTTGAATCAACACCAATAAACAGATCTGTTAAATTGACAATTTCACCTGAAAATGCAGGCCAATCGGTCAATATGAAAAGTAAGCTGCCGTGCAGGTATTTGCTGGAAGGCACCAACTTGGCCAATAAATTCCTGCTTGTTCAAACAAAACAATGTTAGTGTCAAAGCTGATCAGATGGTACCCTCAATCCTTTGAGAGTGCAAACATAAAATATCATATAGATAAATCTAACTTGAAGTGCAGTAATAGCTGGAAGACAGAGCAGCTCCAACGCCTTCTTGACATGCTCTGTTGGGAGTTCTGTGATAACCACACTAGCAAAGAAAATTCGGAAAAAATAGAGTAAAATATATATATTATAATTGCATTGAAGCATAAGAGAATAAATACAGTACAACAAATAAGTTTATGAGAAAAAGAATCAACAAATGTATCATTGAAATATTGTAATGGTCAATACCTCAAGGCTTCGACCAAGTACATAGAGTCATCAGCTGATATTTTATAACCACCTTCACCACTAATTGCTATATGGTAGATATGGAAAAGACCATCCAATGAGCCCGAAAACTGCTTTCTGCAATCTACATATAAGCATAGTTTTACATAGCTCACAATAAAAAGATAAACTAAAAAAAGGAGGGGATTTAAATACACACCACACAATATAAATGCATTTACATATCTAACACCTATACTTTAATATTTATTTATTTAACAACTAAAACTTAAAATCAAATAAAAAATACCACAAACATTAACTTCTTTTAAAGTGAAATACACCATTCCATGTAACGCTAAAATGTGATTGTGTTGCATAAAAATATTAAACTTCCATAGATATGTAAAAACATCAGAATTATGCCCTCTCTAGAAAAAAAAAATGATAAAAAATTAAAAAACCAGACAAAAGGTCCTTCTTTGCTGTAATACTCTCTCCTCTAATGTTAATTCCATACAAAACATTTTCTACACCATCAGGAGTAGCTTTTGCAACACAACAATTCGGGGACACCCGAACATTTAATCAGCCCCTCCTAGCACCAACTTTCTCATTTCATACTATTGCTTGAAATTCATTAAAATACTCAGTAAAAATTATGCCATTCATGTTGCATAGTTATTATCCCACATGCTGCCATACAGCCCGAGCGATAAAAGTTAGGTGGCCAAAAAATTTTTGTTTCAGGTTACAACAGCAACAAAGCCTTAATCCCACTACGTGGGGTCGGCTACATGAATCCTTTTTCTCCATTGCGTCCTATTTAGTGTCATATTTTCATTTAGTTCTAATAAATTAAGATCATTTTTTATACAATAAGCCCAAGTCTTCCTAGGTCTACCTTTATCTTTCTTAACAAAAGTCGAATCTAAAACATTTACTCTCTTAATCAGATCATCAGATGGTCGACGCTTAATGTGACAAAACCATCAAAGACGACTTTCTCTAATTTTGTCCATCACAGAAACTACACTAACCCTATCATGGATATAATCATTTCGCATTTTGTCTCTAAGTGTAAAACCACTCATCCACCTAATCATTCTCATCTCGACAACACTTTTAAAGGCCAACATTCAATGCCATAGAGCATTGCAGATCTCACCACCGTCTTATAAAATTTTACTTTTAGTCTAAGCGGTACTTTTCTATCACACAAAAGGTCTGAAACATTCCTCCACTTCAACCAACCAACTTGAATTCTACTATTAACATCCCCATCTATATCACCATCGCTTTGAACAAACAACAGACCCGTCACACCTTTAATAATTTGATCACCCAAAGTTTACACTTTTGTCACTAGAGCTACTACTACTAAAATTACATTCCATGTATTCAGTTTTAGTTCTACTCAAATGAAGGCCTTTAGACTCCAATGTAGACCTCTATAATTCAAGTTTTTCCTGGGCTTTTTCTCTTGTCTTACTCACGAGAAGGATATCATCAGCAAAAAACATA